TCGCGGGAGGGGGCCGGGCGGGTAACCCAGAGCTGGACGACTTCGGCGGCGGGGTCAGTGCGATGGCGGAGCCGGTGAGGAAGCGGGGTCGGCGCGGCAGAGGCGGCGGTGGCGGCCGAGGAGCTCGGGGGGTCCGCGGCCGGCGCCCTGGCGCCCAGCGGAGTCCCGCCCGGCGCTCCGTGGAGGCGGTGCTGGTGGACTTGGTCAGCGACAGCGAGGAGGAGATCCTGGAGGTTCCAACGGCGCGCGGCTCCGCGGACCCGGCCGGAGCCCCGGAGTCCCCCGCGCCGGCCGCGCCCCCCGACCGCCGGGGCGACAGCGACAGCGACAGCGAAGGGGCGGACGCACGGCCGGCCGGAGCCCCTCGCACCCTGGTCCGGCGGCGGCGGCGGCTGCTGCTGGCCCCGGGCGAGGCGCCGGCGGTGCCGGTGTACTCCGAGAAGGTGTGCGGCTCCCGGGGGCGCGGGAGGGCGGGGCGGGGGGCCGAGGGCCGGAGTGGGGCGTTCTCGGGGGTCTGGCCCAGCCGGGGCCTGGAGGCAGAGAGGCAGGGTCCTGGGTTTCTGCAGACCGGGGAGGTGACGGGGTTGGGCGTGTGCAGGGAGCTTGGCATTCCCGCCGGGGCCGTAGGGCGCCTCTGGGGCTGGCATCCCTGGGGAGCGTCTGGGGCCGGGATTTGGGGCATGTCCGATTTGGAGGTTGGAGCCCATTGCTAAGGACCCAGGAAGCTGGGGTGTGGGGGGCTGGGGGTTATGGAAGTTCAGAGAGAACTGGGGGCCCCAGGAGCCTGGGGGCCCGTGATGGTGGATGAGCAAGGGAGCTAGGATTCCCTGGGATTCTAAGGTAGCCGGATGGCTGGCAACCTAGTGCAAAGGTAGAACCAAACCTGCATCTCAGAGGGCCCAGGGAAGGACGTGTGTGTGTGTGTGGGGGAGGGGGAGGTGGGGGAGGGGGTGTCAGGGCACAACAGCTGTGGGTCCTGGGAAAGCCCCAGGTCCAGGAGGAAGGCGGTGGTGTTGGTGTCCTCAGGGAGGGCTTGGGGCTGATCCACCTTTGTCTTTGCAGGTGAAGAGCAGCCTCCAGCTCCTCCCGGATCACCTGCCCCTCCTGAAGCTCTGTCCCCCGGGGGCTGAGGAAGGTAAGGACAGGCTGCGGGGAGAGGCGGGGGGAGTGTACATCCCTGCCGCTCTGCAGACGGAGGAGAGGTGGCTCCTGCCTCCCAGCCAGAAAAATGCCCCAGTCTGGGAAGGCGCTGGCTTGTCCATCGGAAGGCACAGTAAGTGCTGTCAGACCGCCCTTCTTCCCACTCCGGTAGGTATGGGGCTTGCTGACATGCAGATTTCCAGGCGCCATCCCTGGGGATTCTGGTTCTGCATCTTGGGGACAAGGAGGGGGAGGTGATGAGAGCCTGCAACCTTGTTACATCGGCACCAAGCTCCTCGGGAACACTCTGGAGCTGCCAGGATGTTCCTGAGTCTTATCAGGGCCGCCCAGCCCTCGTCCTCCCCCAGGGATCCGATGTTTGCAACCCATCCAAGGGCAGTGACTGGGAATCACATTTAATAAGGGAGCGATCCAGTGGGCAATTCCAGATCTAGGGCCAAGACTTCTGTGCTGTGAGGGAGGGTGGGAGGGTGAAGAGCTGATTTAGGAACTAGCTGGTCTGGGCTTGTAATTTTTGGGGGGGAAAGGGTCTGGTTTTGAATCCCAGCTCTGCTCATTAGCTGAGTGGCCTTGGGCACATTCATCTCTCAATGCTTTAATCTCCTCCTCAGGAAAATGGAGATGATAGTGGACCCGTGTCAAAGAGTGGGAATTAACTAAAGAGAACATCTGGGCAGCTCTCTCTTGGGCTACATGTATAGTTCAGGACAGCATCTGGCGTGTAGACATGCTATGTAAATGTACCTTCTTCCTTGCTCCTCAAAATGTGGGCCCAGCTTGAGCCCCAGTGCATGGGAAGCACCTCAGCCCCACACTCAATGTGGGCCACCTCCTGAGAACTTGTCAGAAATGCAGAGTCTCAGGCCGCTGGCAGCTGCCACAGTTAGCTCAGAAAAGGTTTCTTAACAGCAGCACTACTGACACGGGGCCGGGTGATTCTGTGTTGTGGGGCTGCGCTGTGCATTGCGGGATATTTAGCAGCATCCTGATGTATCCGGGATCGCAGCCCAAACCTCTCCCCCTTGCATTGTGGCAACCAAAGTATTCTCTAGATAGTGCCCCATATCCTCTGGGAGGCAAAATTGCCTCTGATTGAGAACCACTGATCTCGGATCTAAAATCATTGTTTTGTTTTAAGAGTATTAGTCTTTATGGTTAATGATGGCCTTTTATTGGTGGCAAACAGGTAGATGACACTCATGGATAACATTGGAGAAACATGGGCTTAGAGGGTCTGTGCTCCTTTTTTCTTTCCCTCATTCCCTGCTTGCCCCAATGCCCACTCACATGGTCTCCCTGCCCACCCAACTGAGTGCAGGAAGAAATGGAAACATTTAAAAATACCATACTGTGACAACATCTATTTTAATGTATGTGTTACAGTATACATAATAGTATGAGCATGTATACTAATAGCATTAAGTAGTATTAAATGCATGCTTTCTGGGTTGTGTGCTTGATGTTTCTTATTTGTGGGGTACATGTGATCACAAAGGGGAGTGGGCCACTTATCAGTATTCTACACCTGCCACGGTGTCTCACCCCTCGTGTCACATGTAACGAGGCTCGGACATGCTCCTGCTGTCCTCTGAGTTAAGGTTTCCTTTCTGACCCAGGCCCCCTGAGCACTTCCACAGGATTGTGATGGAGCCCTGTGGCTCCCGCAGCCTGCTCCTTCCTGAGGACTCCCGAAGCCCCGGCTTGGTCTCCTCTCCTTGGCCTCCGGCTGCCCTCTCTGGGCTCACCCTCCATACTCTCTCCTGTCCGCAGAGGGGGAGATGGCGGACTCCAGCAGTCCCCATGCTGAGGATCTCCCAGACCCTGACTCTCCCTGGAAGAAGCAGCTGAGGAGCAAGGCTGAAGAAGAAGAAGAAGAAGAAGAAGAAGAAGAAGAAGAAGAAGAAGAAGGAGAGAAAAGTACGGTGTCGCTGTGAGTGAGCTGGGCACTGAGCCTCAGGAGCGGGAAGGGATGGGAGGGGAAGGCTGAGGCGAGCAGGGCCCTTTGCTGTTCTGTAAGATGGTGGACAGCGGTACCTGCCAGGGTTTCTCCGTAGATTAGTACTTGCCGCCTGGCTGGTTGGCCTAGTTAGTTGGGCATCGTCCCAGGCACCAAGAAGTCACAGGTCGATTCCTGGTCAAGGCACATGTCTGGGTTGTAGGCTCGATCCCCAGTAGGGGGCGTGCAAAAAGCAGCTGATCAGAGGCTCCCTCTCATTGACGTTTCTCTCCCTCCTCTCCCTCTCTCTCTGAAGTCAGTAAAAACATATTAGTAAAAAGGGAAGTTAACACTGGCGTATAGTAAGTGCTCAGAAGCCATTACCGTCAGAGTTAGGCAGTGTCGCCCTGGCCCGCGTGGCCTGTTTGGAGCGTATTCACCAAGAGGTCGCGGTTCCATTCCAGCAGCGAACAGGCCCAGGGGCAGGTGTGTCCCCAGTCAGGGTGCTTACGGAAGCTACTGATAGGCCCCTCTCTCCCCGCCCCACCCACCACCTTCCTCTAAAATCAATAAGCATATCCTCGGTGAGGATCAGGGGAAAAGAGGCATTTCCTTCTGTATAAAAATGATCCTCAGGTTTTCCTGTCCTTCCCCCTCTTTGTCTTCAGTGAGGTGTGTGCTATGGAAGGTGTTCCCTCTTGCTTCTCTGACTCCCCTTCCGTAGCCATGAGGGGAAGGGAGTGTGAGGCTGGGGTCTCTCCTCTTCCTCCATCTTGCCTTTCTCATCTCTGCAGGTCTCAGGACACCTCTCCTTTGCCCTCACCTCTGCCAAGGACCAAGAGCAGAAAACATACTCGAGCTCTCCAGAAGTTAAGGTGCTGGGGCAGGAGGCCCGGCCGGGGGGGGGGGGGGGGGGCGCGAGAGGGGCAGTGCTGAGCCCCCCCCCCCCCTGCCCCAGCTGACCCAAGTCCCTTTCCTCCTCAGGGAGGTGAACAAGCGCCTCCAGGATCTGCGCTCCTGCCTGAGCCCCAAGCAGCGGCAGGGCCAGGACCTCCTGAGCCAAGACGACGAGGTGGTCCTTCTGGAGGGGCCCGTCCTCCCAAGGAGCCCTCGGCTCTTCCAGCTCAAAGTCCGCTGCCGCGCTGACCTGATCAGATTGCCCGTCACCATGGTAAGCGCGCAGGGCCTGTGGGAGGAAGTCCCAGGAGAGGCCGTGGTCAGGCAGAGGGCATGGTCCCGCTGTTTGAGGCTCCATGCCTCTGTGCTCACTATTCCCTCTGTCCGGATTGTCTTTTATTAGCTCTCCCCTTTCTGGCAAAATTTCCACCCAGGAGAAGGGGTGGAAGGATCCTGAGGCTAAGCATCCTAAGGAGCTTTACGTGGCAGCCGCCTCCCAGGACATGGCTCCTTCCCTCCTCCTTCCCTCCGGCCCTGCGCTTTTCTCTGACTTCGCGCTCTCACTGCAGTAGACACGCAGATCCCCAGGCATGCTCAGCTCACTCACTTCCCAGTGACTCCATCCAAAAATAAGAATGATAACAGCAAGGAGCCATAATCGTGCGGTGGCAGGCAGCTAAGCCAGAGCTTGCAAACTGCAGCCGTGGCCTTGCCAACAGGGCATCTTCCTTTTTTACCTGCCGAGAGCCTTTAAAGCAGAGGCGTTTACAGCAACAACAACAGAAAAGCCACCCAGTTTGCTCAGTGGACAGAGCGATGGTCCTTGGATGTAAAGGTTGCTGGTTTGATTCCGATCAAGGGCACGCATCTGGGTTGGAGGCCCGATTCCCGGCCCGGTCAGGGCTTGTGCAGGAGGCAACCAATCCATGTGTGTCTGACATCGATGTTTCTCTCTGTCTCTCCCCCTCCCTTCCACTCTAAAAACCAATGGAAAAATGTTCTTGGGTGAAGATTAACAAAAAGCAAATACACAAAAGACAGGATTGCTTGCCAGTCTTTGCAGTAGGTCATTTCATGCAAAGGTCTGGATGTCTGGCTTCTCTTAAATAGGAAGACAGTCACGGGCAACATCGATCTGCTCGCCTGCACTCCACCTGCCGGGGGTGAGCCTGAAACCCAGACGTGTATCCTGATGGGGAAATCACACCAGCAGCCTCTGGTGCATGGGACAACACCCAGCCCACTGAGCCACCCGGGCCAGGCCTCGGCTGGGCCGCTTAGATGGGGCACGTGAGCCCCGCGGCGCTGCAGTCCGCACCCTCCCCTTTTCCTCCTAACCCATGGTTACTTCCTTCCTTTGTGTTACCTACCCGAACCCCTATTGACATGATCTTATTCTGCATTTTCCCAGGTAAATATGACGCAACTCCTAGCCAAGGTGCTCGAGTAGCAAAGGCCGCAAACTTGTGTCGGGGGCGGTGAGATGGGGACTGCAGGGCAGAAGGCCTCCTTGCTTCTTGTCTCCTTCCCAGTCGGAGCCCCTGCAGAGAGTGGTGGACCACATGGCCACCCACCTCGGGGTGTCCCCAAGCAGGATCCTCTTGCTCTTTGGAGAGACAGAGCTGTCCCCCACGGCCACCCCCCGGACCCTGAAGCTTGGAGTGGCTGACATCATTGGTGAGAGGAGGGCGGGGAGGCGGAGCCCGGAGGAGGCTTGCTACAGGGGATAAAGGGAAAGGCCGGGGTGGGGGCTTGCTTCCAGCCCCAGCGCCCCGATCCTGCCTCCGCAGACTGCGTGGTGCTGGCGAGCTCCCCCGAGGCAGCAGAGGCCGCCCAGCTGCTCCAGCTGCGCGTGCAGGGGAAGGAGAAGCACCAGACGCTGCAGGTCTCGCTGTCCCGGGTGAGTGGGGGATGCTCTCCGTGCCCCTCCCCTGCCCCTGCCTCCTCTCGGCAGTTAATGCGGGGGGATTCCTTCCAGCCCCGATTACTGGACGCTGCCCTCCCTGGCCTGGCTTCCCGCCCATCCTAGAGCGGGGGAAAGCCCACCATTCAACGTCCCTCCCCTTCTGCTGGGAACCTCTGCGCTGGTCTCCTGTCTCCTTCCAGTTAAAGTAGAAAGGACTTTGGACAGTAACCACCAAAATCCATCAAAATTACAAATTAAGGCCACACTTGTAAGTGACACTGAGGGCACTGAATTTCACAACAATCTTATGGGAAAGTAGTTACCCTCACTTAACAAACAAGGGACCTGAGGTCTAGGGAGGGGGGTGGCTTGTGTCCTAGGGTCCTGTAACAAACTTCCACAGACTGAGAGGCCTAGAGCTACATTCTGTCACATGCTGGGGGCAGAAATCGGGAGGGCGAAGGCGCCAGCAGAGTCACGCCCCTGAGACCTTGTAGGATCCTCCTGGCCTCTTCCAGCTGACCCTGGTGTTCCCAGACGTGCCTGCCCCACTGCAGTCTGCCTCTGCTGTCACATGGCCTCTCCCTTGATGTCTTTTCTCTTCTTACGAGGACACGGTCATGTTGCATTAGTGCCCACCCTAGTCCAGTATGACCTCATCTTAACTTGGTTACATCTGCGAAGGCCCTACTTCCAAGTAAGGTCACTTCACACCTCCCAGGGGGTAGGACCACAAGGTACCTTTTTGGAGGGAACACAGTTCAAACTGTAACACTAGCCTAAGGACACACATCCAGTCAAGGGGGAGAGCCTGCCTCCAGCGCCATCATCCTCACTCTGGAACCATCGCGATGTTTGCCTCCAGGGGTAGGCGGGGAGAGCCTTTCATTGACATCAGCTTTTCCGTCTGTCCAGGACTCTCCTCTCAAGACCCTCATGACCCACTACGAGGCGGCCATGGGACTCTCCGGCCACCAGCTCTCCTTCTTCTTTGATGGGACAAAGCTTTCAGGCAAGGAGCTGCCGGCTGATCTGGGCATGGAATCCGGGGACCTCATTGAGGTCTGGGCCTGAAACCCCACTCCCTGTGGGGAGGCCCTCGTGGGCCCCCCACTACTGGACTTGGACAACAGCTGCCCTGTGGCCCTAAAGGGCTGGCGGAAGCTGAGGTAGAACTTATTTTTAAGCGGAAGCAAAACCGAGGCTTGGTGTTTGACCCCCTCCTGTTGACCTGAGTTTCACACTGCTGTTGTGTTTGTCATGGCTGCCCGGGGGGACTGTGGCTCCATGCACAAGGTGTGCTGAGCTTTGCGATCCCCCCGGACATTCTCCACCTCCACCTTTTCACTTCCACCATCACCCTTTCCTTCACTGGACTGCTCATGTTTGAAGAGGGAGAGGAATAAAGAGGGTTGAGAATGGGATTCCAGCCCTGGGACTGAAGCCACACCTAGGACACAGCGGCTGCAGTGTCACTGGGGAGGCGGGGAGGTTCGCTTGAGGCACACCAGCAGGAGAAGAAAGGATCACACCCAGACAGGCAGGAGCTCACACAGGCAGACGGGCTACTCAGTGAAGGGTCTCGAAGGTTCTCGGCCTTGGAGTCAGCACACCAGGACTCAGAGCCCCTCCTGAGGCGCACACGTCGCCAAGGCACCCTGAGCAGGGAAGCCTTTGATTGGACCTCAGGCCTGGTCCACACAAGGCTCTCTGAGGCCCTGGTTTCATGGCTTTTCTCCCTCCACGCCACCTTCCCATGAGCACCCACTCTAGGATGTCGATGACGGTCTCTGATTATGAATGTGTCCTTGCACACGCAGTGCTGCACGTGTGAATATCCTTCTCGGGTACGAGGTGTGCTGTGACCTGTGCGGCTCCTTTTCTCACCCAGCACATCGACCTTGTTCCTCAGTGGGCATCGTGTGTCACGTATGCATTCACTGGTGGCCCCTAGGCGACTCCATCCCTTGTACCCACACCCCCTTGGCACACAGACACAGCCACGACGAATGCCCGGCTGTGTCCCCTTCCACGCTGGTGTGACATGTCCTCTGGCACAGACACCAGGCCGGGGTTGTGGGCCAGGCTGATTTCTCTTCTACCAGATTTGCCTTAGATGTCACCGACCCTCCACTGGACGCTCCCCGTTTCTCCCGCCCACACTGGCTCTTGGATTGCCGGGCCCTCTTTGCCAGTCTGCCGGTATAAATGGTACTGTGTTCTAATGGACACTGACTTCATTCCCAGGAATTTAGGGAATTTCTTCATGTACCTGTCAGCCTTTCTGGTTTCCCTTTCTGTAAGCTGTTCCTTTCTCTGTTCATTTCTTTGTTTATTCTCAAGAGTTGCCTGTATATTCCTGGGCAATTGCAAATAACTCAGAGTGACACTTGGATTTATATATCTGGGCGTGCCCTTTACTAAACAGACATTTTTAATTTTAATTTAGGTGAATGAATTGTTTGTTAGTAATTTGTTGCTCTTTGATTTATTTAAAAGTAAGAGATATTTTGCATTTTCTTTTGTTAGCTTACGGGCTCTTCCTTTCTTTTTTTAAATATATTTTATTGATTTTTACAGAGAGGAAGGGAGAGGAACAGAGAGTTAGAAACATCCATGAGAGAAAAACATCCATCAGCTGCCTCCAGCACACCCCCTACCGGGGATGTGCCCGCAACCTAGGTACATGCCCCTGATTGGAATCGAACCTGGGACCCTTGAGTCCGCAGGCCGACGCTCTATCCACTGAGCCAATCCGGTCAGGGCCTGTCTCTTCCTCTCACGTTAGGCTACGAAGTGGGGCTGAAGTCCAGCTGCTGGCACTGACACTGGCCGTGGCTGGTGTCTGCCCTGCATGGTTACACATTTCTTCTCGTTGGCTGGTTCTAGGCTGTACTGGCTGCTATTAATAGGTAATGAGGATTACTTTTAAACTATTTAAAATTCACTTGTATATGAGATCCAAGTCTTATTTTCATTAAGTAATGAGCCAGATTCCTCAGTGTCTACTAAAAAGCCATTAATTTTCCAGTAGCTGTGGTATAATTTTGGCAATAGTATCTCACATTCTTAAAATATTTTTTGTTAGAATGTGGCATTCTTTTGACCTTGTATTGTAGGAAAGAAACCTTTATAACATTTAAATAATATATAATATAGTATAGCTTTCTTTTTTTTTCCAGATCTTTTATGTCTGCTAATAACTTTGAACACATTAAAATTATATATTAAGTCTGAGCAGAATAAATGGGAATACATTCCACTTGTGTGTGCTTGAGGATTTCTGTCTTTGCGGCCCTCGTCCCCGCACATCCATTGTTCCTCCTTCCAGGTACCAGAGACTTCAGAATGAAGCCAGCCTTCCCGGGCTCCATGCCGCTGGGCGCGGTGGAGTGCTGGTCCAGGCTCCTGGGTGCCGGCGTGGAGGGCCCAGGCCCAGGGTGCAGCCATAGTGGGCAGTGCCTCCCCTCCCCTTCGCTTCTTCCTGGAAGGGGAGCAACCCAGCCGACGGGAGGTGACGGGTGGAAGCCGCACAGGAAGGCCAGGGAGAGGCTCAGCCTTCGAGCAGCGCTTGGCCAGCCCTGTCCTCTGGGCTGCAAGGGGGAGGGAACTGCTGTCCTGTTTAGGTCACTGCTACTGGAGGCTTTTTGTTCTTGTAGCCAAACCCAGTGCTAGCCCCGGGGGTTGCCATTGCAGGCAGTATTGTAGTTGTTAGGTCCCCGGAGGAGGCCAGAATGGTGAGGGGTTACGCATTTAGTCAGTCATCCGCACACCGAGTGGCTGAGCCTGGACGGCTCCAGCACCCAGTGAAGGGAGTCAGCGGCTGGCCTTTTCTGGGCAGAGACTTCCTATGCAGACCTGGAGGGGAGAGAATGGACTGTGGTCACTGCACGAGATATGTGGTCTCGGCAAAGGGAGTGTCCATGGTTCCCGGGGGAGGGATACCAATGCAATTGCTCCATCAAACCCAGCAGTGAGCCTCTGGGAACCAGGTGAGAGCCCAGGCTTGTACCCGGGAGTAATCGCTGGCCACTGAGTGCACCTCCCCGTGTCTCCGGAGAGCTACCCGAGGGACCTCTGTAAGTCCATAAACAAGTGTAGAAGGTCCAGTTTCCTCTTATCGTCCCCAGCACTTAGTCTGGTGAGGACGTGGGAAAGAGCTAAAAAAAACTTGCATTCTTCTATGAGGAGAAAGATTATGCATCCTTTTGATTGAAGAGATCAGTCACTTGTCAGATGATCTTTCTAAAACCCCTGTTGCCCTGGCCCTGGGGCTTGGTTGGTTGGGTGTCCTTCTGTGCACCGTCTGATTCCCAGTCAGGAAACATGCCCGGGTTTCAGGCTCCATACCTAGTAGGGGTGTGCAGGAGGCAGCCAATCAACGTTTCACTCTCGCATTGATGTTTCTCTCCACCTCCCTTGTCTTCCTAAAAAAAAATCAATTAAAAAAATTAAAAATAAAACTCCTGCTTAGAAACCTTCAAAACCACAGTGAGCTCTAACTTGGTGCCACACACCAAGCCTGGCACTTCTCATCTCATTCATTCTCATCAGTCCCAGCAGGCTTTGTTATCACAGATGCCCCCCTTATCTGCAGTTTTACTTTTTGAGGAATCAGTTACCTGTGGGAAATCTCGGTCTGAATATAATGAAAAATTCCATGCCCTGGCCAGGGTAGCTTAGTTGGTTCATTGTCCCATGCACCAAAAGGTCGCTGGTTCGATTCCTGGTCAGGGCATATGTTTGTGTTATGGGTTCAATCCCTAGTCAGGGTGCATGCAGGAGGCAAACTGATCTATGTTTCTCTCACATCAGTGTTTCTCTCCTTCTCTCTTCCTCTCTCTCTAAAAATCATTTAGGCCGAAGCCTGTTTGGCTCAGTGGTAGAGCGTCGGTCTGCGGACTAAAAGGTCCCGGGTTCGATTCCGGTCCAGGGCATGTACCTTGGTTGTGGGCACATCCCCAGTGGGGTGTGTGCAAGAGGCAGCTGGTCGATGTTTCTCATCGACGTTTCTGGCTCTCTATCTCCCTCCCTTCCTCTCCGTGAAAAGTCAATAACATATATTAAAAAAAAATCATTTAGATGATTCTAAAGTCTCTGTTCCCCTGGAAGACATTTAAAAAAATAAAAATTTCAAAAATAGTAAGTTTAAATTGCATGCCATTTTGAGTACCTCACTGTAATATCACATAGGCATTGTGTAATCCCACTTCATCGCCAGAAGGGTGCGTACATGAGATATTTGAGAGAGACCAGTCACATAACATATTACAGTATAGTCAGGTGCCCTTAGCGACAGGATAATGTTCTAAGAAACGCATCAAGTCATTTCCTTGTGTGAGCATCACAGAGTGCACGTAACCACACGTGTGGCATAGCCTGTACACCGGGGCTGAATGGGACAGCCTATTGCTCCCAGGATATGACCCTGTATGGCACGTCACTTGTAAAGCAACATGAGATTAAATCAGGCACAAGAAGAAACATGGCTATCAAGTTAGCTGTTAATCTTTCACTACTCCTAATTTTTATACTAAACTTTCATAGGTGTTTATGTACAGGAAAATATATCTGTAGGGTTCAGGACTATCCCCGTGCCAGGCATCTCCTGGGGGTCTGGGAACGGATCCCCCGTGGAGAAGGAGAGACTTCTGTATTCCGATTTTACAGACGAGAAACGAAGCGGGAGAAGATTAATGAACCAGCCCAGAGCACACAGCCCCTGAACGCCCAGCCGGACGGAGGAGCAGGCGGGCCTGACGCGGCTCAGGGTTTTGATGAGGCCAGCACTTCGCATACTTCCTTGTGCACACATGTCAGCGGGGGAGCTTGAGAACATGCACGCGTGGGCTCAGCGGTTCTGGGGTGGGCCTGAGGGGCGGCATTTCTGACAAGTTCCCGCGTGGTGCAGCCCTGCTGACCACACGTTGAGTAGCACGGGGTTATTTTGCCTTTTTTCTAAAGCCTCACCTTCAGCACCTCCCACCGCCCCACCCCGCCCTTCCTTCTAGCAAGCCCCCCATGTTCTTGCTCATGTCCCACCTGAGTCCAGAAGGGGGCTAGCTCAGCACACTCGGACACCCGCTGGTCTGTGTCTTTCTCTCCTCCTGGACTTAAGATCCGTGAAGACAATCACAGCCATGCCTGCTTCATGACACGAACGGGTGGGCCACACATACAGCGGTGCTCCCGTAGGATTTAACGGAGCTGAAAATCCCTATTGCCTAGTGATATGGCTGCCGCCGCAATAAGCCAAAGCCACAGTGCTTTCCTAAAAGAGTGCCGCCTCCCCCGGGGAGCCTGGGCACTGCAGAGGCCATGGTTATGGGCGGTGACGCTCCGTGCCCGTGCCGCCCCTGGAGACCTCCCAGCGGACAGATGTGGCGTGGGAGACCTCAGCTCTGAGGATCTTAGCTCTGTGTGGGCTTAGGCGAGGGGTGTCGAACTCAATCAGAGAAGGGGCCAAAATCTAAAATCCAGCCTAAATCGCGGGCCGAATGGTTTACTGAACAGTCATAAACTGTCATTGTGATGGAAACGCAGCGGAGTGCAGTGATGACAGCGCGGTGCGGGCCACATTGCAAGGCCTGGCGGGACGGATTTGGCCCGCGGGCCTTGTGTTTGACACATGTGGCTTAGGCCCATGTGTGTGTGAGCCTTTGTTTTTTAAAAAAATTCAAAAAATAGAAAAAGCTAAAATAAATAAATAAAAATAAAAAAAATAGAAAAAGGTTATAAAATAAGGATATCAAAATTATTTTGTACAGCAGCACAATGTATTGTAAGCTAAGTTATTACAAAAAGTAAAAAATTCGAAGTTTATAAAGTTATAATAAACTAAGGTTAATATATTATTGAAGAAAATTTTAAAATAAATTTGGTATAGCCTAAGTATGCAGTGTTTATAAAGACCACAGTACGCCAGGCTGGTGTGGCTCAGTGGTTGAGCATTGACCTATGAACCAGGAGGTCGAGGTTTGATTCCCAGCCTGGGGCATGTAGGAGGCAGCTGATCAATGATTCTAATCATTGATGTTTCTATCTCTCTCTCCCTCTCTGAAATCAATAAAAGCATATAAAAAAACAAATGAAGACCACAGTAGTGGACAGTAGTCTAGGCCTTCACATCCACTCACCCACAATAAACTCCAGCCCTAAAGACTCCTTTCATGGTTAGTGTCCTACGTAGGTACACTGTCTTAATCTTTTACACGTATGTTCACTGTACCTTTTCTGTGTTTAGTCTGTGTAGATACACAAACACTTACCCTTGCACTATAGCTGCCCACAGTACAGCACAGTAACAGGCTGTGCAGGT